AGTGGACAGTGAGAATCCATGTTTTACAGTGGGGCATGAAACAAAATCAAGCCTTGAGAGCAAAGAAATGAAGCTTGATGCTGAATGAACTTATTCTAGATAGGCAAGTAAGCAGTTTGTTACAAAGGAACTAACAATTTGTGTTTGTTTTGCTGTTTTATGTTTTTTTGTTACTGGAGCGGTTTACACAAAAGCTGAAATCAGTAAAGTACTGGCTAGTACTGCATGTGAACAATATAAGCTCAGTGTTATCTTGATCGCTTTCAGCTGTGTGTGTGTGTCTGTACCTTTTGTCCTTGCGGCGCTCGGTCCCATTGATCAGGTGCTGCAGGTTCTTGTTCTCCACAGATCCATTCTGCTCTGAGCCCGACAGGCCAAGCAGAGAGCGAACCCTCTGAGTACGAACGTCCAGGATGGTGTCTGTGTATCCGACTTCCTGTAGGTACCTGACCGCCAAACAAACACGTGCACACTGTAAACTACACACCATTTGGTCAAATACTGATTTTTGTTAACAAATTAATTCAAAAAGTTATTTCAGCATTTTGCTTCCACTGCAAATACAAGTGCTTAAATGTTCTTACTGTCTGAGCAGCTGTCTTCCTTGTTTCCAGGTGAGCTGACTGTTGGCATGAACAGCAGAGACCTCTGAATCTTTGGTGTCTAAGGACAGAAACAGAAACAGTGATTTATACAGCACTGCCTGCTGGACACAAAACAGAGACGGCTTTCATCAGTTGTATTTAAAGCTGTGAGTTACTTCAAGTCTAAGAAGAAAGGTCAGGAGTCCATCCATCAATCCATCTTCTTATGCTTATCCAATTCCAATTAACAATTAACATTTTAAAGAACTGCGTATGATGAGGGATTTACATCACAGTGTTTAATGCTCATGTGTTTCCGGTTTATTACAAAACCCCGCTAACTGCATGTCTTTAAACTGTGGGAAGAAGCCCGAGTACCCAGCGAGAACCCATGCAGATACAGCATGAAAACTCCAAACACAAAGACTCTGGCCAGGTGACGGATTTGAACGCAGGCGTTTCTTGCTGTGAGGCGACAGTGCTAATTGTTGCACCACCATGCTGCCCAGGGGCTAAGAACCTATATCTTTTATATGCAGTCTACAAAAGGCCACATTGAATATAAAGCATGTGTACAATGAGAGATTAATGGAGGGGAGTATGACATCATACATCATACCTGATTCAAAACTTGGCATCTTCATTTCTCCTTGGTTTAGCTCTGTTCCATATTTTAACTTGTGGTATTTTGCTCTGAAAATGGAAAAAAGAGAAACTAATCATCAACCAATCAATTAACATGGTTAAAAATTAAAATTAACATAACATATTTTTAATGCATATTTTCTGCACATCAGTGTCACCCCCAAAACAGCGAAAAAAGCTCAAAGTGTGTGGTCGAAGAGAAAGGAAAACGGATTTCCACCATAGCAAAAGTGAAAATGTAAATGCCTTAAACAGATGAAACTGAAAGAAGGCTTTGGCAGATTCTTTATCAGTGAAACAGAAAGAATCTGAAGTATACAAATAATCTATTACATCACTAGTGCACAAAAGCAACCCAAGAATCACAGAACGAAGCAGTAATTTAACAGCAGTCTGAAGCAGAACTATAGAAAGCTGATTAACTTTGTATTCAAACAAATTAAACATATCCCTTTAATACACTAGTCCAGGTTATTTGGTATATTAACTTCTGTGTTCTATATTTCAGAGTACCTGTGCTGCTTGGAAAATAAGCAAGTGGCAGAGACTGAGACGACACAACCAAAGACAAGCTTCTAATCCATCACAACATAACCCTGACAAGCTATCCAAGCATGCCAGTGACTGTGAATGAATTAGCCTTCTGCAAACTGAAGTGAAAGACTCGGCACAGTGAAATAAAAGTATTTGCTCCTTTCTTGACTTCTTTTTTTTTTTTTTGCATATTTGTCACAAGTTTCAGATTGTTGAACAAATTTTGATATTAGAGAGCCCTCGTACAAAAAACAAAACACCGTTTTAGATGATGATTTTACTGAAAAAGTTATCCAAACCTAGTCGCCAGCTTAGGCGCCAGTTTAGCTCAGTCAGATGAGCAGGCGACCATATGCCGCATGGCTGAAAGTGGCCGGCCCAGGTTCAAGTTCGACCTGTTCCCCTTTGCCGCATGTCTTTCCCTCTCTCTTTCCCTCCACTTTCCTGTCGATCTTTGCTGTTTCTATCCAATAAAGCCAGTTAAAAGGCAAAAAATTATATATTTAAAAAAAGAAAAAACCCTAACCCTAACCCTGGTTGTGCAACCCTTAGCAGCAAAAACTGGCAATGGATCCTTCCCACTGTGGAGGAATTTTGGTCCACTATTTTTTTAGCAGAATTGTTTAAATTCAGTAGTTGGAGGGTTTTCTAGCATGAATGACTTATTTAGCAAATCAGATTTAAATCCGGAGTAGTCCACTCAAAAACTTTGATTTTATTTATGGGTTTGTTTGTTTTCTTGTTTTTATAAAGTCATTAAAAGGTGGGCTTGCGTGTGTGTTTTTGGATCATCGCATAACCCAAGTGCATTGAGCTTCAGGGATGAATTGATGGCTGGAAACCAGGATTTTCTGGTACAGAGCACTTTTCATGATTCTGAAGCAGTAAAGCAGCCTCAGACAATCACACTACCATGTTTGACTGTTGATGATTTATGACATGCTGCGTGAGTTTTACAGCAGATGTAACAGGACACAAACCTTCAAAAAAGTTCAAATTTTGTCTCATCAGTCCACAGAGTATTTTCCCAAAAGTCTTGAGAATCATCAAGATGCTTTTCGCACATGTGAGACGAGCCTTTGTGTTCTTTTTGGCCAGCAGTGGTTTTCTCCTTGGAACTCTTCTATGGGTGCAATTTTTACCCAGTCTCTTTTTTATTACTGTAACCTGGACACTGATTTTAACTGTGGCAAGTAAGACCTGGAGTTGTTCTGGGTTCTTTAGCAGCCTCCTGCAGGAGTGTTGTTGCCCTCTTGGAGCCTGGATGTGGCTAGTGAAATCAAACGCAGATTTCCAAAAAATGCGGTTAATCTCTGTTACTTTATGATTTAACAAGGGAGGCAAATACTTTTTCAAACAGGTCAACTTTGTGACAAAACTGTATATTGTACATACTTGGATTATCTTTGTCTAGTATAACAATTTGTTTGATCTTCTGAAACATTTAAGTTTGGCAAACGAGGAAAAAACCCCACTAAGAAATCAAAAAGGCAGCAAATATTTTTTCATGGCACTGAAAATAAGGAAATTAAAGATCTAACAGGATTTTTTTTTAAAGATCAGCAGTTATAGTTGGTAGCCTTCAGTGTGAAGTCCAGTTTAACCCCTACGGATCACCAACAATTCAACTGAATTATATTTACACAGCACCAGTTAACAACAACACAATTCACCTCAAGACATGTTGTATTGTAAGGTAAAGAGACCCTACAATATTAAGAAGATTCTGTGTCTTACCTTTCCTGCTTTAATGCATATTCTAACATTTTTATTCTTCTAACCAGGTCATGCTTCAGGTTTTCCTGGCCCTTCCTCTCCCCCTGCAAGAAGGCTATCCTCGCCTGGAGAAACATACAAACAAAGCATTAATGAGGAGTTCAGTTTACAGTATAATTATTCATTTAAAATGTTTAAAAACCTTTAATTACAGGATGAAACATGTCAGTACGTAATAAAAATCTCTTCTTTAATGGAATTTCAGTGATGATTCATAATCTGACCATAAACCCGCACTGTACTGCAAATTTACCCACATATTAGAATATTTCTTTCGTTTTCGTGGAAACTCAAAGACAAGAAAGAAAGATGATGATCAATTAGAATTACTAGACTCTGGACTCTTTTTGACCAGTGAAGTCCTCTCACCTGTCAGAAAGCAATGCTTCCTGTCTGACTAACCACACCTGTCTGTCAGTCAGTCCAGCAGCTGCTCTTGAAACCTAACACTAATAGGTCCCAAGAGCCATTTATACACAGAGTGTTCTCTGCCAGCGTGCCCATAATGACATGGCCTGGTAACAGGAAAACCAAAGGTCCTCCCCCAGATTGAAAGAGACAGCCAGAGTGGGAAGGAGAGAGTGGTCAGGGGTAAACTGGGATGTGAGAAAGAAGATTACATAACAAACCACACTATTTCAGCCCCGCTATGATTGGCCAGCTCTATGACTGACAGCCACAGCTCCACGGCAACCCCCGAGATCACTCTGACATACCAAAATATGTACGTGAGAGTGTGTTAGATGGTATAAGCTGTGAATGCACGCAG